CCTGAACGCAGGACCCTGTTTTAGCCTTCTGAGTGCTCAGATTACAGCCATGTGCCACCATTCTTACTCCCTATTTGGTAGAGGAGAAAATCAAACTTTGGAGAGATTAAGCAACTTTTTTCGAAGCAGAGTTTAAAGCCAGCCTGAGCTACATAATGTCTCACTGGTCCCCACATAAGTCACTGCAAATTTCAAAAGACTTCCAGCCAGAAAGAGCCGGAATTTAAACATAAGCACAACATCATGATTTTGGTCTTTAATTGGTTTTAATTTTGTCCTTCGGCAGACATTTGGCAATCTCCATCAAAAGTTTAGTTGTTACAGTGGGGTAAGGGCATGGTGCTATTGGCATCTAGTGGGTCGGGGCTAATGATACAGCCAAAAGTCCCCCAGTGCACAGGATGCCCTCATACACAGGTGTGCCCATTCCCAAATGATAATAGTGCTGAGACCAGGAAAAGCAGTTTGAAACCAAAGCCCCACCTCCCCAGCTTTAGCTTTCGGTATCAGACACTCCATCTCCTTTTCTTTGTTGTAAATACTACAGTGGGTTTATTTTTCTTCAATTGACTTTGCATGAAAGAGTTTAGAAGAATCAACTACACGCTAACACTTCTGCCTATGAATTCATTTGGCAGATGTGCTTTTTTTTCTTTTCCTCACATATAGTGAAACAAGTAAGACACTATTGACGAGTGAAATCTCCGTGCTGGGGACCAGTGCAGGGAAACCACTCTTCGACCTTCTTCTGTGAGGCTTCTTTACCTCTCCAGACATGGAGAGTAAAATCCATCAAATATGTGCTCTGGAAGCACACAAGGCCTGCTACAATTTGCCTCTCTGTCATCTCTCCCCCTTTTCCCCTCAAGGCTAACAGTTGCTTGGAAACCTCTTTGCAACCATAAAAGCCACCTGATGAGGAAGGTTAACAAACAGCTCATCCAGGCAGGGCCACGGTGCAGATCATTGAATCTGCTGCGTGGCTTTTAAGCACTGCTTTCAAGGCAGTCCGGGCAGCCTCCTCTGTCAGTCCCCTCCTGAATTGTTAGCGGGTACAATTGCATGCTTGTTTTAGTGGGTACTAGAGCTGAAAAATTGAGGCCAGCGCCAAAGATATTCTTTTTTAGATATCAAAAGGGCCTGTGCTGTAAAATTATGGCATCTTCATCTCCTTTTTAGAAAAGAAGACTTCGTGAATCCTTGTGACGTGGTCACGTGGATTTGTTCCTGAAGTGGTTTTGGGGAGAAATTCATTATAATTTTTCTTTGTCTATGAACTTGCCAGGTGTTTCAGTCAGCAACTTTATAACCCCCTGCCTCCACATAGAAGCCTTAAAAGAAATACCCTTTTAATCATGTATGCCAAGCAATCATATCCCTATCAGGAGGTAGTGGCTATGCTTGCTAAGTTGATGTATCCAGTGAAAATGGGCATTTTTTCCCCCTCTTTGAAGAGTGAAGAGAACAAAGATGATTCTCCCAAATATTTTTCAAAGGCTTAACACATGGGCTGGGGCAATTCCAGCAGGCACAGCCACTGTAGAGAGGGAGGGAACCGAGTCAGGAGAACACTCCTGGGGAACTGGAGGAGGAGGCTTAGGTAGGGTTCTTCCAGGAAAGAGGTAGGCAGAGTGGATCTCAGACTGCTTCCTTCTGAAGCACAGCTCCTGCAATTTTCTTGTTGCAAACAGGGGGCAGTCTTTATTAATTAAAGCTGGGATCAGCAGCCAGCGAGTCAAAAGTCCTGAAGACAAGGCTTGAGCAGAAACTGGAGGCAGGTCCTGAAGTGGACTTTCCCACCTAGAGTTTGCCTAAGGTATTTAAAAACCATGTTTCAAAGTGTCTTAAAGCCCCCAAACCTTACAACTGTGTGTGTGTGTGTGTGTGTGTGTGTGTGTGTAAGGTGTGTGTAGGGGAACCTGCTTTTCTATGAGGTCATTGTAAAGGATGCCCTGATGCTGGTTGTTGAGCACCTAGGTGGGGGACAAGGTTGGGGACACCTAGGTGGTGGACAAGGTCAGGGATAGCAGAAGCCTATATTAGTAGCTGGGCAGCTTATTCCAGCCTTGGCTTTACCACTTGCTGGACAGAGCTCACAACTTCTTGGATCCTAGTAAGCCTGTTGGAAGGTCCCTTCAAACTCTGAGTGTAGACATCTCTCAGCCTCACAGAAGTCATGGTGGAAGAAACTCTATCATTCGTGTTTTGATTATTCCTTTCTCTTTAGGTCCCAGACAGAATGATTTCTCAAAGATCTCTGTCTTTCTCTCCGCTCCCACCCCGTGTGTGTGTGTGTGTGTGTGTGTGTGTGTGTGTGTGTGTGTGTGTGTGTGTATTCCTGTGGGTGCAGGTGTGCATATTCATGTGTACCAGTGCATGTTGAGGACAAATAACAACCTTAAGTGTCATTCCTCAAGAGCTTAATTTTTAAAAGATTTTCTTTTTATGTGTATGTGTTTGTCTGTCTGTGAATTTATGTGTACCAAGTGTATGCAGTTTCTGTGGTGGCCAGAGTGTCACATACTCCAGTAGTGGAGTTGTAGGTGATGTAAGCCACTTGATGTGGGTCCTGAGAACCAACCCGAGACCTCTGCGAGAGCAGTAAGTGCTCTTAACTGCTCAGCCGTCTCTCCAGCCCCTCCATCTTGGTTTTTAGGACTACTGTTGCTCTCACTGTCGGGAGACGCACAGCTGGGTCAGGCCAGCATGTCCCAGGGGTCTGCCTGTCTTACTTCTCCAGCACTGGGATGTGAGTGTAGCCACTGTGCTCTGCTTTCTCATGCAGGCTCTAGGGACTGGACTCAGGTCCTCATGCCTTTGTGACAAGCACTCTCCTGATTCAGAACTTGTTAAAAATCTCAATTAACCAAACAATTAGCTAACATAGCTCCTAAGTAACTTTTGTCTATGTGCCGGGCAACACAGATAACCATGGCCCTTTCAGTCATGTTGTTTACATGGCAGTGCTTGCAGACAGTGGATTGAGTGTCCATTAAGAAGGCACAGGAAGTGGCTAGGCCACAGGCTCTGGAAGCAGATTTTTTTTTTTTTTGAGTCAAATGTCAATTCTAGCATTCGCTCCACAAACTACCCTGGGATGCTTTTTTCATTGCTTTGCGGCTAAGTCAGTTTCTCCACTTTGCTGTTGGGAATATTAACCAAGAGGCAGAAAGTAAATGGGGCCACTGGGCCCAGTGATTGCTCCACAAGCCCCCAGGTTGTCTAGTACTCAGCTAGTTATTGATTTTTAATAAAAGTAAGCTGAGGGGCTATGCTGCAAGCCACAGATAAGTGTTTGCTGCCATCAGCTCTCACACCAACACTTGTGTTTGTGAGATGGACAAGATGGCAGGTGTGGGCACCTCCCACCCTACTTCTGAGATCTTACTGTGAGGAAGCTGACAATCAGGAGCTCACCCCTCTCCCAGGTTGGAGTACATTCTACTGCAGTCAGTCTTGGCTCTAAGGCTGGCGTGGTCTACCAAGGTGGCCCTGTGTTGCATCTGTAAATCTTATTCCAAACACCAAAAGGTGCCATTTATTCAAAGGAAGAGGGAGCTTAGCTAAACTCTTTGATTTGGAGAAAACTTGCTCCACAGTCCCAATAAACCCTCCCATAATTTTGCAATTAAGGGGATCCTAGCATACCATTTTACACGGGGCCCAACTTCTGGGTCCTTTGAAAATGTCCCCAAAGAGTCCTGCAGCTGAAGTCAAACTGAGGAGAGGGCAGTGAAAACGTTTCCTTGTGAATCGCCAGCTGACAGCAAAGAGCATACTTAGTTAATACAATTAAAAAACAAACGCCAGGGAGTGTGGGGATAGAGATTTAGCTTAGCAGCTTTGATGCAAATCCTGTTTTAGGGGCTACTGAAGTCAAATTCAGACAGAGGACAGGAAGAAGTAGGAGAGACCGGAGAGGGCCTATGGCGGGCTGGGAGGAATCTACCAGGAGAAAAGAGAGAGAGAGAGAGAGAGAGAGAGAGAGAGAGAGAGAGAGAGAGAGAGAGAGAGAGAGAGAGAGAGAGAGAGAGAGAGAGAGAGAGAGAAGAGCAGATTTGGAAAGGCTGAGAAGAAATGCTAAGGAAGCAAGCTCCGTGAGGATGTCGGGGAGGGGCCCCGTGGGGACAAGGGACAGCCTGCTCTGGAGACAGTCGCGCTGGCTGCAGGGAAGACAGGATGGCTGAGGATGAGTGCCCAGGCCTTGCGCTGCGCCAAAACTGACAGCGCAGAGGCGCCGCCGCGGTGTGCCCTCCTGTGGAGCTCAGAGAACGCTGCGGGGGCGAAGAGGGACAGAAAGCTTCAGGTCCTAGGAGCTAGGCAAGTTCCTAGGAGACACCTTCCTGGACGAGCCTTGGCTTTGTCCTCTAGTCGCCTCCCCAGGCCCCTAGGCTTCTTTAGTGAGTTCCTAAGCCTTTCTCCTGGGATGCTTACCACAGCCCAGGTCCTGGGCACTTCACCCACCTTCTCAGTTCAACCTCTGTTTTTTCTGTCAAGGGACTCGCGCCAGGCAGGAGGGCGCATCCACAGGAAGGGCAAGGCGGTCCCTGCCCTCCCGGGAGGCGGAGGACGATCCTGTCTACACTGCATCTAGTGTGTCTTGGAGTGTGCAAGCCATCTAGTCTGTCCCGATTCTCCCCGAGTCACCCCTTGCATGATCGACAGATTGCAACCGCAGCTCCTGCGCACGCACCTTTGGGGTGGGGGGGAAGCCGCGGGCGGAGCCACCTCTAAGCCCTTGCTAGGGGTGAGCCGCACCTTTCTCCCCAGAGGGTGCCAGAGGTCCGGGCCACGGTTCTCTTCACCTGCAGGGAAATCCGGGCTGCTCTTCCGAACCTGGCGGCTACGGAGCTCACTGCTCCTACTAGAGCACTCTCTGCACGCCCCCCCACTCGCCCCCGCCCGTCCGAGTCACCTCTCCCCGCGCCCCCGCCCCTTTCGAGCTCGCGCCCGCCCCCCCCCCCCCCCTCCGCACGCCTGCTCTACCCGCCCTCCTCCCCTTCCCCCTTTCCTCTGGCCCTCCCTTCATTCCACAAGTGTCGCTTCGCTCTCTCCAGCGCACTTGGCGAGCTGGAGAGGTGAAGAGCATCCTGCGAGCCAGCGGACGTGGGAGCCGAGTCCCGGGCGGCGGGCGGAGGGGAGTTACGGACACACCGACTCTCCCCGGTTCTCCGCCCCCGCCTCCCCCGGTGGCCCGCAGGACCTGCACCCAGCGCTGGCCTCCGCTCTTGTTTCGTCCCCGCCCGGCCTCGGCGCGCTCCTCCCCGGCCAGCCCCCTTCCTCGGCGCGCGTTGCGCTGGAGGCCAACGCAGGCTGAGCCGAGCGCAGTGGCCGCCGACCACTGAGCGCCCCGCGCCGCCTCCCTGCATGTGCGGCCAGCGGCGGCCCGCAGCCCCCGCCAGCAGCCTCGGCAGCTTCGGCCGCGCGTCCAGAGGCGGCGGCAGCGGCTCCAGCGGCGGCCGAGCGCTCCAGCCCGAGCTGGGAGACACGATGCGCCGAGTCCTCCGGCTACTCCTGGGCTGCTTCCTCACCGAGCTGTGCGCCCGCGTATGCCGGGCGCAGGAGAGAGCTGGGCACGGGCAGCTGGCGCAACTGGGCGGCGTGTTGCTGCTCACAGGGGGTAACCGCTCCGGGGCCGCCTCCGGAGAGGCCGGCGAGGGCGTCGGGGGCTCGGACGCACCGCCGACTCGGGCGCCCACGCCGGACTCCTGTCGGGGCTACTTCGATGTCATGGGCCAGTGGGACCCGCCGTTCAACTGCAGCTCGGGCGACTTCATCTTCTGCTGCGGGACTTGTGGCTTCCGGTTCTGCTGCACGTTTAAGAAGCGGCGATTGAACCAGAGCACCTGTACCAACTACGACACACCGCTCTGGCTCAACACCGGCAAGCCCCCAGCGCGTAAGGATGACCCCCTGCACGACCCCACCAAGGACAAGACCAATCTGATCGTCTACATCATCTGCGGGGTGGTGGCTGTCATGGTGCTGGTGGGCATCTTCACCAAGCTGGGGCTGGAGAAAGCGCACCGGCCCCAAAGGGAACACATGTCCAGGTGGGCTGCCTCCCCTTCGCCCTCCTCTCTGGGTCTACTTTCCTTTCCCTCCCATCCCCAGCATCCCTAGCCATGGTTCCCCCCACCCCAACGTTTCCGATTGGGGGAATGTCACCCAGGACAACAACTTTCGCTTGCAGTATGGAACAGAGGCACTGGGCTCAGTACAGGTGGGGGTGAACGCCGAGTATGAAAGGGGAGGGTCTCTTTCTCCCTCGCCCACCTGCTGTCCCATCTCACCAGAGATGGTGATGGGGCTTGAGACACACAGCCGGGTCTCCAAACTCTTGGGTTTTGGGGAAGAGGATCCATTGATTCTAGATGCTCCTCTCTAGGTAAACAGAGGCAGGCGAACTTGAAGGGGGGGGGGGGCGTGTGTGATCCCTTGTGCGCGTGTGTGATGGAGGGAGGGAGGAAAGGAGTGCGTGCCTCCTGCAACTCGTACACTAGCGAAAATGAAGCGAAGGAGAGGGAGCGTGGTGGAGGGGGTGAGAACAAAAGCCTCCTTGGAGCCGCTGTGCTTTCCCAGAGCTTTGATGGCCCTTGGTTAGAGCCTCATCTTTCCCCTTGGTCTTTTTCTCCTTCACCATCTATCTTTCTGCTGCGGCCATCACAGCGCTGCGCCCCTTGCCTGGGTTAGAGCTGACTCCAAGGCCACCCTCCACCTTCCAAGCACCTTGATTCGTCAACTTTGCCTTTTGCTTTATTATGCAAGACCCAACACTGGCAAAGTCGCAGCAGATGGGAGAGAAAGCATTTGGGGATTAATGGAGAGCTATTTGCCTTTTTTGTTTAACCCCTTTCCCAAGTGTCTAAATTGATTCCCAGAACTCAGTAACTTTGGAGGAGAAGGATTCAGACTTGAGCCCAGAACCCGGGGGAAGATGAGGGGTTAGTGTGAGGTCTGGGCAAGAGAGATGAAAGGAGAATGACCACGGGCCAGCTGACAGCGGGATGGCTGGAGCAAAAACCGACTTTGAGTCTGGGCATTGAAGTCACCATGTTCTCTTCACCCTCCAATCTACTCCCACCCGCACCCTGCACTGGGGTCGTGTGTGTGTGTGTGTGTGTGTGTGTGTGTGTGTGCGCGTGCGCACGTGCATGCGATCCATGTACATGCCTAAAAATCTGAACAAAGAGACCCACCAAAAATAGGCAAAGGAACATCACCACCTCACTAGTAATTATTTTCTATTTATATGTGGAAGAGTATCCAATGGATCTTTCTTTTCCCAGAGAGAAGGAGTTTGGAGGGGAAGGTGGGGAGTTCTGATCCGTTTGGGTTAATGGGAAGGTCTACTAGATGGTGAGGTTTGGGGGCACAAAAGTACGCTCCCAGGGGGTCCAGGATACCAGGACTGACCAGCACTGACCCAGCCTACCTCCGGCTACCCCAAGGTGCCCTGTCAACTAAGCTTCCAGGTGGGTTCGCTTAAGGAGAGTACTACCCAGGGAAGTTTCCATGTCAGTGTTAGGGTGAGGGTGAGAATGGATGCAGGTCTGTGACAAGTGTATTGCTATGTAGGGATTAGTACTCAGACACAGGTAGGCTGCCTGGCTGACATCTTAACTGGGACTTAAATCTCCACCATGCCTTTTTGCTAAGTTCTCAAGACTCCCTTTTTGGGATTTGGTGGCATATCTGTGGGAGAGATCTATGCTACAGCTTGAAGCTCGCTTAAATTGGGTGCTCTGGACAAACCAGTCCTCCACTGATACCCAGGGCCTCAGTGGGGACCTTATTTCCCTGTCCTAACCCCTCCTCTCAGGCAGCTCTTTTGGAGGAATTGACTGGAGTTTTCCTGCAAGTTCTTGGCAAGGTCTGTTTAGAGGCAACATCCAGGAGTACTCAGTGCTGGAATAGAGCAGCACCTTAACTCAGGCTCTCCCTGGAAACATTTGGGGTTCTAGAATGCAGTGAGTGCCTGGCTTTGGAAAGGGAGAAGACTTGATTATGCTCCTGGCAGCTTCTTAGGTGTGCTTTTCAAGCTTGCTGCTGTTTGAGACCACCTGTATTGCTTAACATCCCTGTTGCCTCCGGGAGCAACCTTTGACTTTAAATTAGAATGTGGGGTGCAAGCCAAGTACTATTGGGCTGGCAAAGCTCTCTAGGTGATTCTAATGCTCAGCCAAACACTCTGAAGGAAAAAGAATGAACACCTGCTGAGCACAGGGCTGGGTGCCAGGGGCTGTGAGGTGTGTGTGTGTGTGTGTATGTGTGTGTGTGTGAAAACTCAGTTCTCACAGCTAGCCTATGAGACAGCTATTACTTTAATTCCCTGTTCACATAGGAGAATGCACAGGTGAAGAAGCCTTGCTCAAAGTCACACAATTAGGAGAAAGTTGTGCCGTGCATAGTCATGCTGGGTTGAACTCACTTGCACCTGAGGCATATGTTTTAGGTCCAGTTTCAAAATCTGGGGAGCTTCCCAAGGTGCCAACTTTAAGTTCTTGCTTTGGAGATTGGAAGTCAGAATGTTTGGAGTGGGACCGAGATGTCTTCTTTAGCAGCCTCTTTCAGTGAATATGGGATCTGGGAGAAATACTGGCCTTGAGTTTGGAAATATTTTACAAAGGTGGGAGGTGCAGAGCTAATCCAAGAGAAGAGCAGAGAGCAGTGTGACTCTCTTTGCATTCTGTAGCTTGTTCTCTCTACTTGTGTAACCTTCCTATGGCACCAGGCTGCCCCAGGTCCCTCCGAATGCATCACATGCTGCTTATGTACTTAATCATTCGGAGCCCAGTGTGGCAATGGCTCATTAGCTTTTGCCTGATGGTGCTAAGAGATCCTCCAGCAGGGACCAGTGCACCAAGCATAGGAACAAAGAGGCTGCTCTGAGGTGAGGCACATTCCAGGTGAAATTAACCTGCCAGCCACAGCCTCTTAGGGTCTGTCAGGAGATGCAGGATGCAGTCATGGGTTTGTTCTCGTTTTGTCTGGGAAGCACCTTGTCAAGGACATTCAGGTGGTGGTGTCCTCTGCACACTTCATCCTGTGATGAGGAAACTTGGGTTTTCTAGTGGAGGCCCCCCAGCATGTCAGAATGCACATTTGGAGTTCTTGGCCTATGGCCTGCTTCCCTCTGGGCAAGGGAGGGTGGAAAAGAAAGAGGACAGCCACCAGGAAGGGTGGGGAGAACTCATGCCATCTTGTAAGGACTGTACAAATGCAGGGACTAGGGAGACGGTTCAGTGGGGAAGAGTGCTTGCTGTGCAAGCATGAGGACCTGGGTTCAAATTCCAGCACACACATGAAAAGCCAAGCACTGTGGTGAATGTCTGTAACCCTAGTGCTTAAGGTGGAGACAGGTGGATCCCAGGGCCTCGCTGCCTAGCCAGTCTAACCAACTGGTGAGCTCCAGGTTCAGTGAGAGACCCTGTCCACAAATGTAAGATGCAGAGAATAAAAGAGGGTATTCAGACATTCACCTCTGGCTTCCACATGCCCCCCAGTCAAGTGCACTGCTCTCCCCCAACAAACATACAGTACTCTAGAAGGGGAGAGGGAGGGAAGGGGGATGAGAACTGTGGACACAGCTCTGCAGCATCATGAGAGCAGCCATAGGCAGCCACTGCTTCTGGAAGAAGTGACTGCAATGGTGGCTGACTATGGCCATTCAAAACTCCTGGGTAGATATTGTTTGGTTTGCAGGGTGTTACTATTTATGCATCTTGAAAGTTTTCTGTGTATTGTTTCAAGACAGAGTCTGACTGTGTGGCCCAGATTGGTCCCCAATTCATGCCCTTCTCACCCCAGATTCCCAGGGAATGGGTTTATAGGTGTGTGCCACCTTAAGTTTCTATGAGAAAATTTAAACATTCAAAAACCTTGAGAATACAAGGAACTGCAGGACATCCTTTGCTTGATCACAGCCTGTCACCCTTGGCACTATTTATCAGGGCTGGATAGGAACCCTTGTGGTGGGAACTGTCTTGCACATTGTAGGGTGTTTGGCAGCATCCTTGACCTCTACCCACTGAGTAGATGATACCCCTTACACATGCCATGATAATAAAAAAATGTCACTAGACACTGTCAGGTGACATGGAGGAGTAAAATCCCCCACTGAGAACCACTAATCTTAATTAAACTAGCTTTGCAGTTTTGTCAAATTTGCTTCATATCATGCTTTCTATTTCTTTTTACCTTTATCCCCCTTCCATTCATCTCCCCACTTTCCTCCTCTTCCCTCCCTCCCTCCCTCCCTCCATTTCTTCCTTCTTCCTCCCTCCTGCCCTTCCTTCTCTCTCTTCCTCTCTTGTCCCCCTTCAGCTGAACCATTTAAAAATAAGTTGCAGACAGAGAATTCAGTTCCCACATACTTGCAGCATGGGTCTCCTAAGACCAAGAGCATTTCCCCGCACAATTTCCCCACGATTGTAAGAGAACAAAATTGCCACACTGTCATTATATGTCTTAGAAAGAGAACAAAAATGCCACACTGTCATTATATGTCCAATCATATTAAAGTCTCCTTCTTATCCCAAACACCCTTCAGAGTTTGGCTTTAAGTCTGGATCTGGTAAAGAGGTATTGTATTTGGCTGTGAAATCTCTTCGGCCCCTAATATTCATACTATTTTAAAACCAACTCCAAGTCAGTAGCTAGTACTGAAAAGTGGGATTTCTCAGAGAATCCCAATTTCTAATTCCTCTGGCCACTTTGGGAGATCTGGTAACACCATACCTGCAGTTTTCATGTAGCAGCTACTATGGCTGGGTGGTGACTATCCCCTTTAGAGAGCCCTTCCAACTTACTTTATCACGTCACCTGTAAACCTGGGAGAATCAGAAGGCCTGTGTGAATGGCACGTGCTCCCAGCAGATCTAGTGAAGTCTCTTAATATTTGTGTGACCTTGAGAAGGTTGCATCACCTCTCTGAGACTCCAGTTCTTATCTGAAGGTTGAGAATTCACAGAGGAGCAGACAGTGATTAACAGAGAGCCTGTCTAGAGTCACTACCCAGCATCCTTCTTACTGGAATTCCTTCCCCTTGTCC